ACACACACACACACACACACATTTGCCATCCTCCCATGTGCCACGATCTTGCCGCGTGGGAAGCGAGGGGTTGGTGCGGGGGGAAAGCATTCGTGCGGGGGGGCAGCGAGGGTTTGGGATCCGGATCGGGAGGTCGGTGGTTGTGAGCGGAGGTGGGCGGAGGTGGGCGGAGGTGAGCGGAGGTGGGCGGAGGTGAGCGGAGGTCGGCCGACGTGGTCGAAGGTGAGCGGAGGTGGGCGGAGGTGAGCGAAGGTCGGAGGTATGCGGACGTAGGGCGGAGCTCATCAGGATCGGCATCGGGGAACGGAGGATGTCGGTGGAAGTGGAAGCGGAGGCGGGCCGGGAAGGGGGGGGCAGGGGAGTGGGGGAGGAGTGGAAGCGGGGGGGAAAGAGGGGGGGAAGTGAAAGTGGAGGCGGTCGAACGTCGGCGTCGATGCGCGGATCGGGATCCGGATCGGGATCGGGATCAGGATCCGGATCGAGATCGGCATCGAGATGGGATCGAAAAACGAAAGCGAAGGCGGGCGGAGGTCGGTCGCGATGAGCGGAGGTAGGCGAAGCCGGGCGGAGGTGGGCGGTGGTGAGCAGAGGTGGGCCGACGAAGGGGGAGGCCGAGGAAGCGGAGGTGGAAGCGGAAGTGGGCGGGGGAAGCATTGGTGTGGGGGGGGCAGCGAGGGGAAAGCGGCAGCGTGGGTTAGTGTGGAGGGGCAGCGGGGGTTGGTGCGGAGGTGGAAGCAGAAGCGGGATCGTGACCCAGAGCTAGGTCAAATGGAGGAGGGCGCAGCGGGACCCAGACAGGCCGAAGAAGAAGAATAAGAAGGAGAAGAAGAAGGAGAAGAAGAAGAAGAAGGAGAAGAAGAAGGAGAAGAAGAAGGGGAAGAAGAAGGGGAAGAAGAAGGAGAAGAAGAAGAAGAAGAAGGAGAAGAAGGAGAAGGAGGAGAAGAAGAAGGAGAAGAAGAAGAAGAGGGAGAGGGGGGGATAGCCCACATCGTGACATGGCAGCACGGTTGCTCCGCGAAGATGCGGAAGAAAAATAATAATAAAAAAAAAGGCCGAAAAAAAAAAACCACGTGCCTATCTTCCCACGTGCCACGATCTTGCCACGTGGGAAGCGAGGGGAAGCGGAGGTCAGCGGAGTCAAGCGGAGGTGGGTGGACCCGCGGAGGTGGGGAGAGGTCAGCAGAGCGGACGCAAAGTTTTTTTTTTTTGGTCGGAAACAGGACGAATAATAAAAAGAAAAAAAATAAAAAAATAAAAATTAACAAAAAACTAAGAAAACGCAAAGTTTTTCTTTTTTGGTAAGAAACAGAACGAATAATAAAAAGAAAAAAAAGAAAAAAAAGAAAAAAAAGGAAACAAAAGGACACGCATCGACACTTTCTTGCTATGCGACGGCGGGCGCGTTCAGATAACAGAAAGAGAAAAGAATACAAATCAAAATAAAAACAAAAAGAATACCAAATCAAAAATAAAAACCACGTGCCGATCTTCCCACGTGCCACGATCTTGCCAAGTGGGAAGCGAGGGGAAGCGGAGGTCGGTGGAGTCGAGCAGAGATAGGTGGACCCGCGGAGGTGCGGGGAGGTCAGCGGAGCCGACGCACGGGGAGGGGTGAGCACCAAACGTGGGGGCAAGACCCCCCGTCCGTTTTCTTTTTATCTTTTGATAAGTTTTTTTTTTTCCAATCAATTAATCAATCAATCAATCAATCAATCAATCAATCAATCAAATGGAGGTGGGTGCAGCCGTGGTGGTCCGTGGAGCCCCGGACGTGGGAAGCGAGGGGAAGCAGAGGCAGAAGCGGAGAGCGACACGGTCACGTCAAGCCTTTTTTGTTTTTTCTTTTAATATTTTTTTTTCGATCAATCAATCAATCCCACGTGGCGAGCTTGCGACGTGGCGAGCTTGGCACGTGCGAGGGGGAGGTGCCGAATTTGCCATGTGGCAAGATTGCGACGTGCTGATCTTCCCACGTGCCACGATCTTGCCACGTGGGAAGCGAGGGGAAGCAGAGGCGGAAGCGGATAGCGGAATTGGAATGCACGGAGAAGCGCACCTCGAAGAGGGGAGTTGCGGAGCCCGAAGCCTAACCGGGGAGAAACGGGGAGAAGCGCAGAGATGTGGAGAGAAGCGGGGAGAAGTGGAAGCGGGGAAAACCGGAAGGGGCTCCAATCATTAATCAATCAACCAATCAATCAATCAATCAATCAATCAATCAATCAATCAATCAATCATTCAATCAATCAACCAATCAATCAATCCAATCAATCCAATCAATCAATCAATCAATTGATCAATTAATTAATCAATCAATCAATCAATCAATCAATCAATCAATCAATCAATCAATCAATCAATCAATCAATCAATAATCACCCACAATGTTGCTGTCCCAATGTCAAGTCTCAATCCCGAATGTCGTCAAATCTCATGTAACCACTCTCTCTCTCTCTCTCTCTCTCTCTCTCTCTCTCTCTCTCTCTCTCTCTCTCTCTCTNTCTCTCTCTCTCTCTCTCTCTCTCTCTCTCTCTCTCTCTCTCTCTCTCTCCGAAAAAATAGAAGAAAATAGAGCGGTGCAGGGGAGGAGAAGGTGGTGGACCAAGGTAGAAGAAGAAGATGTCTCTCTGCCTCACAATGCCAGGACTGAACTGCGAATAATAATAATAATAATAATAATAATAATAATAATAATAATAATAATAATAATAATAAGAAGAAGAAGAAGAAGAAGAAAAAAAAGAAGAAGAAGAAGAAAAGAAGGTGGAAGAAAAGAAGAAGAAGAACTTCAAGAAGAAGAAGAAGAAAAAAAAAATTGTTTAACTACTTACCAGCAGAAGCCATGTCGATGACTCGCTCTCTCTCCTCCTCAAAACCAAAGACGCCTCCTTTCTTTGTCTCTATCTCTCTGCCTGTCGACCTCCTCGTTTGTTGCCCTCCTTCTTCACCCTCTACTATGGCTTCTCTCCCAAGGCTCGAACGTCCGAGCTTCCGGCTATCTCCGACCTATTTGAGAAGTGAAGGAGGTAAGTATGGATTTATTCAAGAAAGAGATGATGGCACGGGGGGATCACATGGGATTAGGGAGAGGGAGACTGAGTGCCGTAATTGAGGATCGGATTTTTCGGATGTTTCTTCTTCGAGTGATAAACGGTGATTGTCCATGGGCGAGGAAATGGGTAGGTTTGGTAAGCGGGAACTCTGAGGATGTGTCCACGAGCAAGCCTGGTGTGTATGCTCTTGTGAGTCCTTGGTGTCGGCATTTCTATATAGGATGCCCGACTCGGGCAGTGATAACGAGGTGGTCGGATCACGTAAACCAGGTAGACCGCGGAGATCTTGGGAACGCACCAAAATTGCTTCATGGTTGAGAATTTTTGGTTGGAGGAAGTATTTGGCTATTCCATTCGTAGAGGGCGTCGAAGATCTGCTTAGGGTGGAAGCCAGTCTGATTAAAAGGTTTTCTCCGACCTTGAACACTCAAGGGATGGGGAGGGAAAGCAAACGGGTAAGGAGGAGGAAGGGAAAACGGGAGAGAGGGAAGAGACAGTCGTGTCCCTTGGGAGAGGCTGTTATTAAGTTCAACGGTCGGGCGTCTATCATCGAGCTACTAAGGGAGTTGAGGGGAAGGAATGGAGGGAATTGGGCGATAACTTCATCTGGTGGAAGGATCTGGGCAGATAAGTGGCAAACAGTGCGAAGGAAGGTCGGAGAGACCAAGATCACCATTGAAAGGATCACGAAACCACTGAGGGAGTGTAAGCAATTCTTGGAGACACGCGGGATGTTTCGAGTTGGTAGGATTAGGATTCTCCCTTTTAGCCTTGAACACCGAAAGTTTGTATTGAGAGATGTGCTCCGGCAGCCCTGGCGGATTCGAGGTCTGTAGAAGAAATCATCTCGGGAGTTAGTGGCATTATACCGGATTTCGTCGTTATTCAGGGAGAAGAAGTGTAGAAATAGGATTAAGACTATTGTCAATCGGATAGGGAAGGCGAAGTTTGGATGTGAGATGAGGAGGAGACTTTGCGTCAAGGTCCCGTTCTCGCCCGAAGTACGAATGGGAGTAGTCCGCCGAGTGACCGCCGATCTCGTGGTCCGATCCATACCGGACCCGACCATGACCCGCTTTGTTGCAAGTAAAGTGAGAGTGGTGGTGAAGAAGAGACGAAGTATGGGAATGATTGTCCATAATCATTGGAGATGTGAGGAAGCAGAAAACGTGATGTGCGTGTGTCAGGAGCTGCAGCTACCAAGGAGCGGGGGGCATGTCAAGGTGCGTCTTTCCGAAGTGAAGGGAATGCCCGCGTTCATGTGGAATTCGAGGAATGTGACCTGGGGAGGTGCCATCAGTCCGGGAGCATTGGAAACGTGTATGAGGCAGGCAATCAAAGTGTGGGCGAAACAAAGGATGATTTTGGTGGCAAGACGAGACATTGAGGAATGCTACGGAGAATGGGATGCGTCGAGAACCAGCGCTATGAGTACGTACGAGGTCCGGACACAGTTTAGGTCGTACGAAGGGTTGGTGGCAATTCCGATTTATCGCAATCCTGGAGCGACCTTGTTACTGTGTCCAGTTCTGTACCACCGAGCATGTCGCGAGACTTTCAATTGCAATCCTTGCTTCCGGGAGGTAGAACATTTGGAGGATCGGATGGTGAGCACAATGAAGAATGATTATCTTCAAGCGGGGCTGGCCAAGATCGCCCGATGGCAGACAGGAGGGAAGATTGGTCAAGCGTACGTCCTTCCCAAGGACAAAAACTTGGGAAGATGGAGGCCTATCTCCCCATGCTCATGCGATCTTGCGAGAGGAGCGGCAGCCAGAATCGGGGCCCTTGCTAAGTTTGCGAGAGTGTCTGGCGGTCCGTGGGGATTTTATCTCCCTAACGAGTACCCCGGACTAGCTAGATTTTTGTTCCCGTGAAGGGTGTAAAAAAGTACTGTGTTGTATTATAAGGGGAAAGTGATAACCTTTGGAAACATACCTAGGTAGTGTAAACTGGAAGGAATTAGGATCAATATGCCCTGTCGTAGGTGTGGGAAATTCCGTTTTGAGGTCCCCCACCGAAGGGTGGGCGCCGATTTGAATGTGTTCTTACCTCTTTTTTCGTTTTCCCTTTTCTTTCTCTTTTTCTTTCTCTCCTTTCTCTTGCTTTATTTATCTATGTCTGTCGTTAGTTCTTCTGCGATATCCGGCCCTTTATTTGCCTCGTCCGTCGATCTCTCGGGTTAGGAGAGAGGAAAAAAAGGAGAGAGAGAGAAAAAAAAAAAAAGGAGAAAAAAAAGGGAAAGAAACCTCTATTAAGGTGGATATCAGTCCATTTGGGAAAGCGAGGTCGGCAAGTTTTCTGGTTAACCAAAGTTGGTAAGGTTACCGGTCGATTCATGAAAATTCAGACTCCGGAAGTAGGCTACGGGTTTAAAGGAAGAATGGACAGAAACGACGGTCATAGCAATTTCGGGAAAAAATGTTGGATCCCGCAGAGTGCTCAGGTAAGGCAGAGGGTTCGGTTGTGCAGAACAGAGGGCGTGATGAGCATGCGGATGGTAAGGCGTTCTGTGCGCAACGGGGAGACGATGCGGGTGTCAGCATAGCAGATGCCATAGAACTAGTAGCCGGACAATGACGCATTGGGTAATGGAGGAGATAGGGCGAGGAAGGATTTAGTAAGTCTGGAGGGAGGAGAGACAAAGTCGTACGCACCAGGTTAATCGGAATCTGATTGAGAAGAAGGAGAGTCGGGAGACGGTGGGAAAGTACGGACAGCGAAGATGGAAGCAAGGTACGAGGATCGAAGGGGAGAATGCACGTCAGAATGGGGGAAGGGAAAGGAACGTGGTAGCTTAGCTCTTAGGGAGGATAGAGGGATAGGATGAAAGGTACCTGTGGTGTAGGTGTAGGGGATAGGCACACGGAGACTATAAAAGCTGGTGAGATTCCACTTACATGTATCCCGAGTCCTGATGAGTTCGCCCAGTACGCAGATGACGAAACGTGTAGGGGCATGAATTGTACCTGTGTTGTTATGGAAGTAATGAAATTTGGGATGATTCGGGATTTTGGTGTTTGATGTGTCCTCGTCTTTGCATCTGGTTACTCTTTGCTCCTTCTGTATTCTTTATTCTCTCTCTCTCTCTCTCTCTCTCTCTCTCTCTCTCTCTCTCTCTCTCTCTCTCTCTCGTTTGTTGTCTTATTCCTCCTTCGTCAAAGTTGGAGGCTATGGAAGTCTTCCACCTCTCTTTCTCTCTCTCTCTCTCTCTCTCTCTCTCTCTCT